CCTTTCAGTTGTATATAGTATATTATACATCATAATGTATAAGTCATTACATGAGCCACGGTTACGTTTGCTATTACGGAATTCATTTAGTTTTAGGCAATTTTTGAATAAATCAACCAGTGACTGACGTAATTTATTACTTTTGTTGATGTTAAACACGTAGCTACACAATGAGTATCAAAACTCGATTTTTAACGTTATAAGCCCTCAGATTTAACGTTTAGAATTGTTATTTATTGTAATATACAAATACTGTATCTGTAATTGAAATGTAATTTTTAACAGAAAACGTTGTAACTTGTGATTTTCTTCATTAGGTGCTTTCCTCTTCCCGTACGTCGTTTGTTTGATTATTTGTGCCATTCCCTTATTCTTTATGGAAGTGGCCCTCGGTCAGTATTTGAATTGTGGAGGCATTGGGGTTTGGAACTTGGTGCCGATGTTCAAAGGTAAGTTTCACATTCTTTCATCTCTTGAGTCATTAATTGTACGTACTTTCTTTTTATGTAGTTCCTTTCATCTTATTGTTTCAATATTTTCAGCTGCCTTTCTATGTTCATTTAAGAAATTAATAACTAATTAAGATAGGTGGGTTGTTTCAGTTCATATATTAGTTAGTTTAGTTCAAGGTCGCCTTGTTGAACTTGAATTGAATCCTGACACGTGCAAATATTGGGATTCCATATAATGCATACCAGCGGGGTGTACAAACGTTTATCGCTACGTTGTATTAAGGCCACGGACGCATGCGATTAAATTGGATGCAAGAACGTTTCAACCTTCTCACTCCACTCGTTGACGCTTACCAAAGTACAGAGTGATTCTAAACAGACGCGTACAGACGCGTAATTCTAAACAGACGCGTGTAATTGTGCAGAAATTCTTCAATACATTTTCCATACTGCTTCAGTTAAATCAGTTAGATTATATACACGTTTGATCCTGTTATTATATTAACGACTATTTAATCAATTAGATTATATACACGTTTGATCCTGTTATTATATTAACGACTATTTAATCAATTAGATTATATACACGTTTGATCCTGTTATTATATTAACGACTACTTAATCAATTACATTATATACACGTTTGATCCTGTTATTATATTGACGACTACTTAATCAATTAGATTATATACAAGTTCGATCCAAGTGTTTACCATTAAAATTCCACTGACTTCACAAATAATTAAAGATAGACCACTGATTTCATGATATATAAGATCGAATTGAATTGTATAAATGTATAAATAACTCACATAGACTTTTTTACATGTATTTTCACTGTAATTTGTCATGGACTATCAAACAGTTTCAATCGCCTGTAATGCAGATACCACATTCTCGAAGTAACCCCGCTGATTTCGAAACATGGACTTTGAGCTGGAAGTTTCCACTCTTATATCAGTCCAAGGACAGTAAATAGTGTGACTTTTGTTAAACTTTTATTTTAATCAAAGGTTATATTAGGAAATAACATTTTACTCACATGCATATTTCAGAATAGGTTAATTTTTCATTGTCACCGTAGCTTATATATTAATATCTGTAACTAAACATACAACGTCACATATATATATTTATAATTCTATTCATATCTAATATTCTAACGTATAAAATGAAAGTACATAATTAATACATGTAATATTTCTCAATAAGACAAATGTAAAACCACTTCGTCCGTTCCCTTACTTGGTTTTTATTTTGTGTTTACAAATGTCCGGAGAGATGGGACATCCTTAACGTCTGTTGGGATCTTTTTAATAAGAGATATTTCTCCAATGCTATACTTTTGTATTTTTACATTTGGTATGATTATAAATAATTTATTAACATTATGTTCTAAACTTTATTATAATATGTGTTTTAGTTGAATAATTTCAAATATTTGATTTGAAGAGAAATAAATTATTATAATTGGTTAACAAAACCGATTTTTTATAATTGGTTAACAAAACCGATTATTACAAATGGTTAACAAAACCGATTATTATAATTGGTTAACAAAACCGATTATTATAATTGGTTAACAAAACCGATTATTATAATTGGTTAACAAAACCGATTATTATAATTGGTTAACAAAACCGATTTTTATAATTGGTCAACAAAACCGGTTTTTATAATTGGTTAACAAAACCCGAT